AATGGAATCCTTCAGTATGTGACCTTTGTGTCTGGCTTCTCTTGCTTAGTGGGATGTTCTCAAAGTTCATCCATGTTGTAGTATATATCGGAGCTGCTTCATTCCTTTTATGGCCAAATAATATTCCACTGTGTGGATGTACCAGTTTTGTTGGCCATTCACTGGCTAATGGACATCTGAGTCGTGTCCACCCTTTGGCTATTGTGAGAAGTGCTGCTGTGAGCATCTGTGTGTAAGCACTGTTCAAACACCCATTTTTATTTTTTAAAATATTTTAATTTTTTTAAGATTTATTTTATTTTATATTATTTAAGATTTTATTTATTTATTTATTTTACAGATTTTATTTATTTGACAGAGACAGACACAGCGAGAGAGGGAACACAAGCAGGGGGAGTGGGAGAGGGAGAAGCAGGCTTCCTGCTGAGCAGGGAGCCTGATGTGGGGCTGGATCCCAGAACCCTGGGATCATGACCTGAGCCAAAGGCAGACGCCCAACGACTGAGCCACCCAGGAGCCCCATGATTTTATTTATTTTTTTGAGAGAGAGATAATGAGCAGGGGGAAGGGACAGAGGTCAGAGGGAGAAGCAGACTCCCCGCTGAGCAGGGAGTCTGATGTGGGGCTTGACCCAGGACCCCAGGATCATGATGTGGGGCTTGACCCAGGACCCCGGGATCATGACCTGCGCTGAAGGCAGATGCTTAACCAACTGAGCCACCCAGGCGTCCCAAGATTTATTTATTTTAGAGAGAGAGGGTGAGCAGGGGGTAGGGACGGAGGCAGAAGGAGAGAGAGTCTCAAGCAGATTCCGCACTGAGTGTGGAGCCAGATGCCGGGCTCGATCTCAGGACCCTGAGATCACAACCCGAGCTGAAACCAAGAGTTGGACTCTTAACTGACTGCACCACCCAGGCGCCCCTGAACACCCATTTTTAATTCCTCTGGGTGTAGACCCAGGAGTGGAATTGGGGGATCATATGGCAGACCAATTTTTAACTTACTGAGGGACCCCCAAACTGCTTCCCGCAGCGGCTGCACCTCTTTCCGTTCCCACCAGCAGGTGCGAGGGCTCTAGTTTCTCCGCATCCTCACCAACACTGTTATTTTCCCTTTAAACATTGCAGCCACGCGAGTGAGTATGAAGTACCGATTTATTTTTGTTTTTGAGCACCTGCCGGATGCCCTGAGATTGTACTCAGTGTCTGATTTCATCCTCCCGACAGCCCTTTAAGGGAAGTAGAATCGCCTCCCCTTTCCAGATGAGAAGATGCAGGCCCAGAAGAGTTAATGACACTTCCAAGGGCACACAGCGTGTGAGGGACAGAGCCGGGCTTCTAAATCTAAATCCTCGTCCCCTTCACCTGTTTCATCCACCCCTCCCCCACCGCCCCTCTGGTGAGCACCAGTGTGTTCTCTGTATTTAGGCGTCTGTTTCTGGTTTTGTTTATTTATTTTGTTTTTTAGATTCCACATGTGAGTGAAATCATATGGTGTTTGTCTTCCTCTGACTGACTTATTTTGCTTAGCATTATACTCTCTAGCTCCGTCCATGTCCTTGAGAACGGCAAGCTTTCCCTCCTCCTTCCGGCTGAGTGAGGGTCCACCGTACGCGCACACCGCCTCATCTTTATCCACTCGTCGGTCCGTGGACACTGGGGCTGCTTCCCTCCTTGGCTCTTGTCAGTAATGCCGCGGTCTCATCGCTTTTCTTTGTGCTTTTTGTTTTCTGTGTGTGCTTTTTTTTTTTTTTCAGATATCTTTCTCCTCTTCTGCTTTTTCCATCCATCATCGTTTTGTCATCTTACGCCTGAATTTTCCTTCCTTTGGTAAAGTATTCTCCCTCTTCGTACCTCTGCCTGCCGTCTGCCACCTTCTTGGCTTTCTGTTCCTTAATCACTCTGTCTTGGTTCAGCCCTGAAAGGGCCCTGCTGCCATGGGGGTGTGTGTGTGTGTGCTGGGGTGGGGGAGCATGGAGAACTCCCCACCTTCCTCCAACTCCAACATGTGCCTTCCTCCATGAGGGAGGAGGGCAGAGCGGAGGTGTTCTGTGACTGGAGGTGCCCAGCGGGATCCGGGTGTGGTAGACGCCAGTGGAGGGGCAGGAAGGAGCTGGTGTCCTGCTGCGGGACCCCCAGGCTCGAGTCTGGGCCCCAGGGCAGGGGAGAGGGGCAGGCAAGGGGGGCCGGGACCCCAGCCCCAGGCCACTGCAGCCCATCGTCAGGCCCCAGCTCATTTCCCCAGGAATGTCTGTTCTCCTCTCATTCATGGGGATTTCACAGCCAGCTTCCACTCTGCTTTTCCATTTGTAAGCTAGACAGACTCTAAATCACGGGAGGAGACACACCAAGCTGCCGGACTAAGGCCAAGGTAGGGGGAAGAGTTGCTATTTTATACACCCTTGGAGTCCTAAAGCGCCCCTGTCTCATTAGCTCCTCCCACACCCCCTCCCAGTCCCTGCAACAGATGCTCTGCTCCTCATAGAGACAGCAAACCGCCTAGTGCTGAGCATCAAGCCAGGCTTCAGCCAGATCCAAAACTCACTTTTTGGATGTTTTTTCTCCCACAAAGAGGGGGAAAGAGAATTGAGCCTCTTTGGGAAGCACAGTGGCCTTAGCAGAGGACTGGATTATTTAATCCTAAAAGTCATGTGTTCCTAGGGGGCGCCTGGGTGGCTCAGTCGGTGGAGTGTGTGACTCTTGTATTTGGCTTGGGTCATGATCACAGGGTCGTGGGATCAAGTTCTGTGTGGGGCTCCGTGCTGAGCATGGAGACTGCTTCAGATTCTCTCTCTGCCCCTCTCTTCTGCCCCCCTCCACTTGCTCACATGTGCTCTCCTCTCTTAAAAAAGAGTCATGTATTCTTAGAGAACTTAATTTTTTTGTATTGCATATCTGTGCTGTAGTATCAGTATTGAGTGAATTGATTTGCCTAATCTCTCAATTAAACTTCATCCCCCCACCCCGCCCCACCACAAATTATGCTGCCTAGATTCAGACAGCATTTATGAGTGCCTTCTGTATGCCCCGCACCGGGCTAAGTGCTTGCTAGACATCATCTTGTGTAATCCTCACAAAGACCTGAGAACAGGCAGGATTATTCCATTTCTCAGGTGGGGATACTGAGGGTCAGGACAATGGAGAGGCAGGCTGTTTGTCTTCACTGCAGGAACAGCACAGGCAGAAGGGGTTTTAACTGCAGGATGGGGTTTTAAGTCGGACTGGCGTGACAGACCTTGGGACAGATCATTTAAAGGAGACTGTGGAATTGCCTCCTCTGGTATACAAGGTCAGAAAATCCGAGAAGCCAGGGTTCTGGAAGTCTGAGCACCTGGAGGGAGGGCCAGGAGACACCAAGGGAGACCCAAAGCAAATGTAAGGGGAGAAATTGGAAAAGGGATCGGCGTGGTCCCCAGCATCCCCAGTGACGCTGTGACCTGAAAAGGCCCCAGAGGAAGCCCACAGAGGAGCCACCCTCCCCTGATTTTTAGCAGGGCTTTTGTTTTCAATAGTGTTTTCCAATAACTTTGCACCTCAGCAGAAGCCGAGTGCAGTGACTGCTGCCTGCAGTTGGCACAGGCTGCTTCCGGTTCCGGTGTGTGTGACCGGGCCACTCTCTTTGTGTTTAACCCCTTCCCCCACACATACCTCCTCCCGCCCCACACACACGAGCGAATGATCCGACCCGGCCGTCCTGGGGGTTGCTGTGTGTAAAAATACATGGGGTTGAGCCATTTCCTGCCGCTTCCGTTCTTGCATGGCGATAAGACACTGGGGACCCAGCTGCGGACAGAGAGATCCTCCAGCAGCCGAGGGGGAGCCGGCCCTGGGAGAGCAGGACTCCAGGCCCGCCCGCGTTCATCTGACCCTGGGTTTCCCATCTTTCCTATCTCTTGTGACCTCTTTCCTTTCTCCCTACCGGCCCCATCTTTCCATCTTTTCTCAGCCTCTCTCCTCCTCTGTGTCATCCTAATGCACTTGGGAAGCCTGCCGGCTGGTGTGGAAAGGGGCTGTCTTCTCCTTCCTGCACCTTCACCCCCTCTGAGCTGGGCCCTGCTGCCCTCAGGCCCCCGGACCAGCCCCTGCTGCCCTTGGCCCCGGGGGTTGCTTCTGGGACCCGAGTCCCCAGGCCCTGGCCCACAGGGTGGGTGGGGCTGTGCTCTTCTCCCGCATCTGGGAGACTGGGCAGGGCCCGGTGCTCCCACCATCATGAAGCGGAAGAGGTTGCTGACGACTCGAGAGAGCTGGAAGGTGATGGAGGGGCTGGGAGGGGTGTCAGCAGAGGCCGGCGACCTGCTGAACTGCATCAGGGAAGCCGGGGTGGGGAGGGCGGCGAGGCTTCCTGCACCTGCGTGGGGCCAGAGTATAGCTCTCGGGGAGAGGCCTGCTCCAGGCAGGAGCCTTTTGGGGAGGTTGGGTCCAGAGGGACAAGTTGTCTCATCCCTGACAAGTCAGTCCCATGACTCTCCACTGAAGCCTCAGACCGGCTTAGTCCATGTGATGGAGCAACAAGAGTTCTGGGTCAGAGGTTCCATCTTTTCATAACTGTGTGTCCCTGAGCAACTTGCTTGAACTCTCTGGGCCAAAGGAGGGGTAGATCTGCCTAGACTGCACTTTAGGGAAGTTGTGAGGATTAGGTAGATCACAGATGCGAGAGCCCTTCAAATATGGCCTCTGTAGGGGCACCTGGCTGGCTTGATCGGTGGAACATGCATGCCACTCTTGATATCAGAACTGTGGGTTCAAGCCCCACTTTGGATACAGAGATTACTTAGAAATAAAATCTTTTTTTTTTTTTTTTTAAATGGTAGCTGTAAAAGGAATACTATGTTGTTGTTATTTTGGACTCTTGCCCTGAAGCTTCCTGTTCATCCTGCATCTGTCCTCCAGGCAGAGCAACCAAGTCCGGGGGTGTCCAGGGACACACGAGAGATCCCCGCTGTGTCCCCTGCCATGGTTTCGTGATTTACCCATGCTTGCCCTGCTTACCTTCTCCCCCAGGTTGACAAGGGAGACCCGGTGGCCCTGAGCCTCCCCGGCGGCCCTGGCCACAGTGACACCGATGGCCCCATCAGCCTGGATGTGCCAGACGGGGCCCCGGACCCCCAGCGGACCAAGGCTGCCATTGACCACCTGCACCAGAAGATCCTGAAGATCACCGAGCAGATCAAGATTGAGCAGGAGGCGCGGGACGACAACGTGGCCGAGTACCTAAAGCTGGCCAACAACGCGGACAAGCAGCAGGCTTCGCGCATCAAGCAGGTGTTCGAGAAGAAAAACCAGAAGTCGGCGCAGACCATCGCACAGCTGCACAAGAAGCTGGAGCACTACCGCCGGCGCCTGAAGGAGATTGAGCAGAATGGGCCCTCGCGGCAGCCCAAGGACGTGCTGCGGGACATGCAGCAGGGGCTGAAGGACGTGGGCGCCAATGTGCGCGCAGGCATCAGTGGCTTCGGGGGTGGCGTGGTGGAGGGCGTCAAGGGCAGCCTCTCGGGCCTCTCGCAGGCCACCCACACCGCCGTGGTGTCCAAGCCCCGGGAGTTCGCCAGCCTCATCCGCAACAAGTTCGGCAGCGCCGACAACATTGCCCACCTGAAGGACCCTCTGGAGGACGGGCCCCCCGAGGAGGCGGCCCGGGCGCTGAGCGGCAGTGCCACCCTAGTGTCCAGCCCCAAGTACGGCAGTGACGACGAGTGTTCTAGCGCCAGTGCCAGTTCAGCCGGGGCGGGCAGCAACTCGGGGGCCGGGCCAGCAGGGGCGCTGGGGAGCCCCAAGTTGAACGCGCTGTATGGGGCCCCCGGCAACCTGGACGCTCTGCTGGAGGAGCTACGGGACATCAAAGACGGTCAGTCCCACCTGGAGGACTCGATGGAGGACCTGAAGGCTCAGCTGCAGAGGGACTACACCTACATGACCCAGTGTCTGCAGGAGGAGCGCTACAGGTAGGCGCCGCCCCCGCCCGCGGGGCCCTGGCCGTCGGTGATGGGCACCAGTCTTCAGACCCCGGGTGGCGGAGGCAGATGGAGGTGCATGTAGCAAGGTCCCAGGCTGCTGGAAGGAGCCAGAAGAGGCCCTGGGAAGGCCCTGGGAAGGCTTCCTCCAGACTGGTCAGAGCCTCTGGAAGATAGGGTTATGGGACCTGTGTGTGGGGAGAAGGTGCTGCCGGTCTCAGGAGCACTGAATGCCCCTCCTTGGTGGTTACGGGGTCCGTGTACAGGAGGGGAAACTGAGGCAGGGACTAGCTATGTGGCCTCTCATCTGGAAAGATTAAGAGCACTGACCCTGAGGCCAAGTTACCTGCGTTTAAACCCCAGCTCTATTCTTTTCTCTTTCTTTCTTTCTTTCTCTCTCTCTTTCTCTTTCTTTCTTTCTTTCTCTTTTTTCTTTCTTTCTTTCTTTTTCTTTTTTTTCTTTCTTTTTCTTTCTTTTTCTTTCTTTTCTTTCTTTTTCTTTCTTTCTTCCTTTTTCTTTCTTTCTTTTCTTTCTTTTTCTTTCTTTTTCTTTCTTTTCTTTCTTTTTCTTTCTTCCTTCCTTTGGTTGTCTTTTTTTTTTTTTTTTTTAAGATTTTTTTTTTTTTTTAAGTTTTTTTTTTTTGAAAAAAAAAGAGAATGAACGGGGGGAGAGGGAGAAGCAGACTCCTGCTGACTGCTTGGAGTCTGATGCGGGACTCCATCCCAGGACCCTGGGATCATGACCTGAGCTGAAGGCAGGTGCTTAACTGACTGAGCCACCCAGGCGCCCTCCCACCGCCCCACACCCCCTCACCCCCCCGCCCCCCGCCCAGCTCTACTCTGCTGTTTACCTTGAGCAAAATACTTACTGCTCTCCACACCTGGTCTCCTTGTCTGTGCAGCGGGAATAACATGAATCCTTACTCCGAGGGTTCATGAAGGTTAAATGAGTCCAAACCTGTAAAGTCAAAGTACGTAAACATCTGGCATGCTCAGTTTAAAGCTTTGGCTGATGCTGGAGTCTCTGGTCCCTCCTTCCCCTCTGCCTCTTCCGCCCTTGTGCTCGGTGCCTCTCGCATGGCACTTGGCACTCGCTCCCTGGGATTCTTGGCCATCTTTTCCTTCATTAGCACTTTTCCTTTTTCTTCTTTATATATATACATATATATATATATATGTATATATATGAAGTTTTGGGAAGTCGAGGGGAAACCCTGCCTGAAAACTAACTAGCCCACACTGTGTGTGTTTGGAGATTGTGTGCCTGCAGAGCAGGGATCGTGTGTCTGTCCCGCTGTGTCCCTGGTGCCCAGGAGAGCGTCTTAGTCCAGGGCTCACAGGCTTCTGTTGAAGTCCGTTAGTCCCTGACTCCTCCATTCGTGAGCGCTCTGGTCTTCGGCAGGTTCCTTCACCTCTCTGTGTGTTAGTCTTATCTGTAAAATGGGATGACATTGATACTTGTCTTGTGGGGTTGAGGGTGGCGGGGAGCCTACGAGATAATGCGCGTGAAGTCCTGGCCCGGGGTCTACATGGAAGCAGGGCTGTGTCTGTAGTAACTTCCATTGTCCTTGCTGTTAAAATGGGAACAGGGCTGAACACCCTGGGTGGGTGGCAGAATGAAATGGATTGTGGGGAGAGAAGGGAGGTGAGGGGGCCAGGACTGCTGTCACACTTTGTCCCTTGGCCAGGTATGAGCGCCTGGAGGAGCAGCTCAATGACCTGACGGAGCTTCACCAGAATGAGATGACCAACCTGAAACAGGAGCTGGCTAGCATGGAGGAGAAGGTGGCCTACCAGTCCTACGAGAGGGCCCGGGACATCCAGGTGCGACCCGACCCTGACCCTCGGGGCTGGGGGCGGGGGGGCCTGGACGTGCGGAGAGAGCTGGGAGGCGCCGGAGGGGGAGGGCCCCACCAAGCGGGGGTTGATGGGCGCAGGCTGTTCCAGTGGCGGGGCAGATGGGCACGCAGGGGCAGTGCGGGGCGGGGCGGAGACAGGGGCGAGGCAGGCCCGAAGCCAGATTTGTGCGAGCCGATGGGCCGGGGCCTCCCGTGCCCCCGGCTCTTTGATGGCAGCCTTGCCAATGAGTAGTTGGGATTTCCAGGCTCCAGACTGCCTGGAGAGGGAGCTCCTGGGGATTGGGCCAGTTGTGTCTCCTACGCACGCACGCACGCACACACACACACACACACACACCCCACTCCTGTTTCCTGCCATCGTCCCCAAGTAGTTGTAATCAAAGGCCTGCCGCCTGCTGCAGCTGATCAGCCTCTCCCCGCCGCTGGGCGCAGTCACCTTCTCCGAGGGGCAGTAGGGTGCAGCCCCCCCGGGGTGGGGGGGTGGGGGGGCACGCCCTCCCTGAGCCCCCGCGTGCGCCTCCCCCCCCCGCCGCAGGAGGCCGTGGAGTCCTGCCTGACCCGGGTCACCAAGCTGGAGCTGCAGCAGCAGCAGCAGCAGGTGGTGCAGCTGGAGGGCGTGGAGAACGCCAACGCGCGGGCTCTGCTGGGCAAGCTCATCAACGTGATCCTGGCGCTCATGGCCGTGCTCCTGGTGTTCGTGTCTGCCGTCGCCAGCTTCATCACACCCCTCATGAAGACGCGCCTGCGCATCACCAGCACCGCCCTCTTGGTCCTCGCCCTCTTCCTCCTCTGGAAGCACTGGGACTCCCTCACCTACCTCCTGGAGCACGTGCTGCTGCCCAGCTGAGCGGCCGGCCCGCCCCCACCCCGTGCTCTCCCGGGGCCCCAGGGTGCCCGCGCTTCTCCAGGAGGGACCCGGGCATTCCCGAGTCCCCGGAACTTCTTCGTGTGTCTGGTTTGGCCTCTTGCCCAAACTGTCCATTCTAGCAGCTCCTGCCCCCTTCTCCGTTCTCGCTTCTGTCTGCCGCCTTCCCCCCGATGTTCTGAAGGGAGCTTCGAGGGCAGCCGCGACCGGAGACGGTGGGGACATCTGTGGCCAAAGGGAGCAGAGGAGGACACCAGGATGGACTGTTCCAGATTATTTAGTCACCCCAGGACTTCTCCCAGCTGACTCAGGATGCGGCAAGTCAGGAAGGCCAATAAGAATAGGAACAGGAGAGGGCCAGGCCCCAACCCTTCTCCCTTCCAGGGAAGAGCCCAACCTGGAGGCTGGACAGTTCCCTCCTACAGAAATGGCCAGGGTAGAGGTCAGAGGGCAAGGGTGGGGGTGGGGAGGGGTTCTGCTGGCCTCAGAGAATGCCAGGGAGAGAGGGTAGGGCCTTCCACCCTCTGGGCACCTGCTGGGCCAGAGAGTAGGCGCCGTCCACCCCTCCTTCCAGAGCTGGTTTGAGGCTCACTTCTGGGCCGGGCCTTTCCCAGGGTATGAAGGATGCAGGCTCTGGAGGCCAGGTGGGGTGTGGCTTTGGACTTGTGTTTTCCCTGTGATTCTTTCTGCCTGTCCCTGGATCTGCTCTTTTCAGGGAAACAGGCCCCAGGGGCCTCGAGCCTCAGCCTAAGCCCTTAGGCCTCTGGGAGCACGGTGGGTTCTATTTATTTATTTATTTATTTGTTCCTTTGTTACCTTACCCCCACTGAGCTCCGGGGAGAGGGCCTGCCTGGTCCTCTCCCGGAAGCCAGGGCTTGTTCTTGGCTTGTTCTCGGCTGTCCGGCATTTCCATACCATTTCGCCTCTGGATAATCCTGGCCGGGGGAAAGGGGACAGAGCCACCCAGCCCTACTCTCCCAAAGTAGCCCCTCGGCCAGGATGGGAGGAACGTAGCCTCTCTTTTATACACTTATTTATTTTGTATGTGTGTATTTGTGTGGAGGAGGTTGTTTGTTGCTTTATTTTTTTAAGGCTCTGGAGTGTTGTGTATGGTTTCTCTTCACATCCCAGCCTTCCCACGGGCACTTCCAAGAAGAGAGGGCATTTCTCGCAAAGCGAAAGAGAAATCCCCTGGAGCGGTGGAGGGTAGTGCCCGTCAGCTGTGGTGGACTTTCCTGAAAAATAAATATCCTCTAAGTTTTCAAAGCATCCTGTCTAGTGTTGGTTGATGGGGCCATCTCTGTGGAAAGCACCGGGTCTCTCCCCACACCCAGGCATTCTGGGTAACAGATTGGGCCTCCCCTGTTGGCCCGAGGCTGCCTTCTTCCAGGATCCACCGCTGAACAAACCATCACGCACCCTTCCCGTCCTGCTTTGTGCAGCCAAAGCTGTGGCCTCGGCGGTAGGGAAGTGAGCCGATGACAGCCCATCCGGCTGCCAGGAGCCCTTTCCAGGGGGAGGGGATTGGGAGAGAGATGCCCGAGGCGTGGACAGCATCAGGCAAGCCCCACGTGTGGCCACGAGAGGGCAGCAGAGTCCTTACTCACCCTTGTCTCCGGGTGCAGTCCCAACGAGGGGCATCTGCTGGAGTTACCTGGACCTTATCCGCTGTCCAGCCAGAGCACAGATCACCTGCTCACCAGGAGCTGCGGTGAGGCTTTGAGCACGGAGGCCGGGCCCCCAGTCTCTGCCCTGTGGGTGCAGCTCCTGGCCCTGGCAGTCCAGGGCACTCACAGAAGGCACTGGAATCCCAGCAGGAACCCTGTAGGACCTTGTGTGTGTGTGGAGGGGGATGGGGGTGCCACCGAATCTTCCTAGTGAGAGGAGGGAGCCGGGTGCAGGAGGATGTGTGGGGAAGGCACCCATCCCAGAGTCCTGGCCCATAATTAGCGCACCTGTGGCCGATTTCCTATTCCCCTCTTGGGCCTCAGTTCCCACATCTGTAATGGGGGATGGATGTGGTAGCTGCTGGTTTCAAAGGGCTCTGAGAAGTCACAAGTTGCAGCTGCATCTGTGGCCCTGGGCTTGAGGGGGCCCCAGGAGTCAGGGACCACTCCCTAACCAGGTCCGAGAGAGTGGCGTGCTGGCGCCCCCTGGAGGGCAGTATTAGTTCATCCTCACCCTCTGTAACCATGTAGGAGTCTCAGCAGGGGACCTTATGGGGCCACCCCACACTTCGGCACTCCTGGGCTCTGCACCCCCCTTCTCTTCCAACCACACACACACCTCCCTTGAGGGCCGCATTCCTGGGCCCCAGGTGGGGGGTGGCTGCTCCAGGCTGCAGACATTTCCCACATTCCTCCCCAAGGTCAGGTGCCTTCCCCCCACCCCCGCCGTCCTGCCCCCCCACCCCCCCGCATTGGCTCTTAAATGTCCCTGCCAACCGCAGTCCGCACTAAAAGGAGGAGGGAAGGAGGGAGTGCAGGGGTCATTCTCAGCTGATAACTGAAGCTGCAAAGTGACAAGTCCAAGAAAAGGGGACAGATCAGCCCCAGCCACAGTGTCATCTGCAGAAAGGAGGGAGCCACTCAGGCCTCAGTTGACAGGGGAGGCAGCTAGTAAAGCCCTGCTCTGCCCTGACTGGGAGTGGGGTTTTGTTCCTCCGATGGTCACCGACACTTCCTTGCTTGTGTCTGAGCCTCTCCTTCCCTCTGTAAAAAGGGGGTGAATTGTCCCCACTCCACACCTGCCTCCTCCTCCCACCGCGGGTTCCTGGGGTGCCCTGCTCTGCAGGGGACCATCCTCCTTCAGACTGCAGGACCGACAGGGCCAGTCTCCTTCCCAGGGGCTCTGTCCTGCGACCCCCAGCGCCACCCGTGGGGGCCCGGGGGGCTCAGCCAGGCCGTGTGCAGCCCCTGGTGGGGGCAGTTGAGACCGCATCTCGGCCTGGCGCTGGTGTTCGCACTCGGGCGGCGCTGGGCATGCAGGCGGCTGGCCGGAGCAGCACTGTTGACCGTGCCCGTGCAGAGTTTGCTTTGCTGGAGGCCCGGCAGAAAGATCCAGCGGCAGCAGGGGCCCTGGCAGACATCAAGCCCTCTGGCAGCCAACCGGCAGAGGCAGGTGACTCACCCCTCGCTGCTCCAGGTTGCTCCAGTTTTCTTGGGTTGATTCTAGGGTGGGGAGGGAGGAGGCAGAAGGAGAGACCTGGGGCCACAGGGTGGGAGAAGAGGGAGCTGGAGCTGGGGCACCTGGAAGGATCCTCATGGCAGGCTTCATTCCCCCATCAGAGCGGGGGCCATGAAGTGAAGTCCAGATCCCAGTATTACAGCGTGGGCTTTGGAGCCTGCCAACCTGGGCTCAAATGCCAGCACTGCCACTCACCCTAGACAAGGCTCCAGCTGCCCTCGGAGCAGGCTAGGAGTGTGGGCTCGCGGGTCTGGGGTACAAGAAAGATGACATCCTGCGCCTCGAGGCTGTAGCCAGCACCTAGAATATGGTCAGAGACTAACTCGAGGCAGCTGTAATTTTCTCTTCGTTCCTGACCCCAGGGGACGTTCAAGTGCGGAAGAATTGCCCAGGAAGTGAAAGGCAGACCCTGCAGAAAACTTCAAGGCTGAGGGTGACTCGGGGAGTTGGCCTCTGATCCCTGACAGCCCAGGAGAGGCCCTCACAGCTCCCCTTTTCCAGGAGCTGAGAACCTTCTTATTCCAGAGGCCTTTCACCTAAGTCTTATGGACAAACCCCAGTCCCAAGGGGTCAGGCCCCAGCTTAAGGGAGGACGGGATGAGGCCCGCTTGGCCCAGGCCAGCTGCCGGGGCCACCCCGGTCCTACGAGTATACGAGTACGCAGGGCCTTCCCTCCTCCAGCCCGAGGAGGGCTCCGGAATCAGCATCCAGAGGCCCAGGTGTGAGCAGAGACTCAGCCACTCCCTGTCTGTGAGGTCACGGGCCTCAGTTTCCTCATCTGAAATGTGATGATGCTTGTGCTACCCGAGTGGCAGGACTTCTGTGAGGCTCAGAGGAGACGTCCGATGTGGGTGCCTGCCCGAGGCCACCCCCACATCTGCCCTAGGGGAGATATTGTAAGGCCGCTGCTGGGCCATCTGGGGCCCCCAGAGAGGGCTCTGACCTCCTTGCGGGCAGGGATTGAAAAAGTGGCCAGCGGTGACCCCTCAGCCGGACGGGTTGTAGCCAACCTCCCAATGAAAATGGAAGGACGCACCTCAGCCCCCACCCAGTGTGCTGGCATGGCACTTGGGGAGGGTGGGGAGGCTGGGACTTGCCCCAGCACATCCAGACCTGCAGGCAGGACCTGAGTCAGCCAGAAGGGCAGTCTAGGCTGGAGATGGCGGCCCTGCCTCCCACACTCAGCTCCTCCCAGGAGCGACTCTCCCTCCCCAGCAGCCCATCCCTGGCCTTTGATTCCGCTTTCCCAAGGCCAACTGTCCAGATGAGGTAGCCTGGACACAGCGGTGCTGGACAGGTCCCCTCCACTGTGCGCCAGCCTCCGGGCAGCAACCCACCAAGCTGGCTCTGCTTCCAAAAGCACCCAGAGGAGATTCCCTGAACTCTGATCAGGTGCCTGGGCTCTGCTGCCCATGTACCTTCCAGCTAAAGGTTCTTTGGTTGCCTTCCTTTGGTTGTCTTTTTTTTTTTTTTTTTTTAGATTTTGTTTATTTATTTGACAGAAAGAGCGAGAGAGAGAGGGAACACAAGCAGGGGGAGCGACAGGCAGAAGGAGAGGGAGAAGCAGGCTCCCCGCTGAGCAGGGAGCCCGATGCAGGGCTTGATCCCAGGACCCTGGGATCATGACCTGAGCTGAAGACAGATGCTTAGCCAACTGAGCCACCCAGGTGCCCCTTTAGGTTGTGCTTGCCGCAATTTCAGCTCACAGGAGACGAGTTTGAAGTAAATGCTTCAGAAATATCTGGGTCTCTCTGGCTGGTCTGGGGCCTCTGCTCTCTGGTCTCCTGCAGGAAGGCTGAGTTGGCTCGTTCCCACCCTCTTGGGTCCCCAGCTCTGTGGAGGTGAGGAGGAGAGGGTTTCCCACGAAACTGGGCATTAAATGAACTCATGCGAGAGACAAGTCACCAACACAGACCTGTTACGTGTCTCCGACTGCACCTTCTTCCTCATCTTCTCAGCCAGGTGGGGCCACGGATGGGAAGACCTGAGAGATGCAACATGGTTGCTTAGGAGAAAGGGGCTAAAAGGGGGTCTCCTTCCTTAGTCTCCTTCCTCTTCCTCCTCTACTAGTCTTGGAACTCTCATCATAGTTTAGTGGCCGAGGGTCCAGGTGTGTGGCCTCCAAACCACCCCACCTTAGGTTCAGTTAAACTTCAGAAACACGATTCAGAGCAGTAAGTAGAGTAAGACATGGTCCCTGCCCTCATGGAGCTCACAGCCTAGTGGACACACACACACACACCCCTCCGAAACAAGGGAAGGCAGAGGTAAATGCTGGAGCCGGGGCTGGGGTGGGAGGTTCCGGGAGAGAGCCC